CTCTCTCTCTCTCTCTCTCTCTCTCTCTCTCTTTCCTCTCTTATCTTCTCTACTACCCCTGACTAAAGTCACACAGTTACACAACGTGGTACTTAGCTATCAGCGGCCATCATCGTGTGGGAACCTCGTTACAAACAATGACAGCAGAGCTAGGTAACTAGGAGATGGTGAAGAGACAAGCAGCACGGGTCGTGGGGGGTAATTGATGTACGCCACTTACCAACACGTTCTGCTAGCATCTATGACAAATACGACGTACGCATATACGCTCTCCTATGACGCTATTTGTCATAGGAAGATTCTTCCTATGACAAATATTGGCGAGTCAACTTCGTTCCGCTTTACAGCTGAAATTCACTGCTTACATGCGTTCATAATAGCGGTTCTAAGCTCCTATGATGCGCACAACACATACAACAATATTTGTCATAGGAAGAATCTTCCCATGACAAATAGTGTCATAGGAGAGCGTATATATGCGTATGTCGTATTTGTCATAGATGCTAGCAGAACAGGCTGCACGTACACGGAGGTAGGTCCGTCATGTGTGTAATGGGATAAATGCGTCGAATATTATGTCAAAGTATACGCAGATTTATATATACACATTATATTTATTTATTTATTTATTCATTCGTATGTTTATCATATATTATTACATATATTATATTACATTATCTCGGGCGTGGCTTTTCGGTGGACACGTGTTCTGCCTAACACGCCGGCCCTCTCGCCTATCGGTCCTATTGGTTGGTTTCGGACATTGATAGGTCAAGTAATAGTGGTCACTCTAGCGTCATTATGAAACGTTTCCAAGCCCATTCTCCTCGCCGCTGACTGGTTGGCAATACTCCTGGTTGCATCATCTCTGGATGCGTTTTACTATCCCTTGGAGTTGCTACTGGCTAATTATGTTGGCCACGTCTCTCATGAATGCTCTCTAGAACTAATGACTCCAATGGCCCTCTAAAGCTAATAACACCATATGTCTTCTCAAATGTTAACAATACCAGTTGGTTTCTAGTATCAATTATTTTAAGTGCATACAGCCCGGCGCACACACACGTGAGTTATTTTACTCAAGTAAAATGACGCATGAGTCAAATTACTCAACGATAATCCGCCGCACACGTGAGTAAAATGACTCATGCGTCATTTTACTTGAGTAAAATAACTCACGTGTGCGCCGGGCATACGGACAATCTTATGCTCCCCGCGTCCCAAATTAAGTTCTCTACCGCGCGTGTGCTACTGTCGCTCTTAATCTACATTTCCACCTTCCTGCTATTAACTTTCGCTCGCGCCCTTTTTGCATCGCTACAATATGGCATATCTTCAGGCTTCACAGCCGGGTCTTCGTAGTCGGTTAACAGCGGGGATACCCCTACAATTATTGTGCACTCGGTAAGATATTAAACGTCGACTGTTTACATATATCGCTACTCTCCTGTTCTAACTCTACTTCTTTACCTATTTTTTGCATACATAATGACCGCGTACCGACGACCGCAATACCTCCTAAAACTACGCGGCGGGTACTATGCAGTAGGCAGTTACGTATATTACATGGGCATATAAATTAACAAGGTGAATAACATATGTTTAAGCCTCAAAACATTGTGCTCCGCGTGTTGGTCTAAGTCAACGGCGCCAGCAAAGTGTGCGCAACACGGCTGGGTTGGCAGAAAGAAAGGTCTGCTCACCAGCTGCTGATGCTGCCACGGCCCTTTACTTGTGTCCGTTGTATTCTTGAGTTTGCTCCACGTGTGGCTCCGATACCGTGGTGCCTGGACTAGTGGTGCCTCGCAACTCCGGACAAAACTAGGACCCAACGGACGCAGCGTGCTGTTGTGCGCTCAAACACACCGAGTTATGAACTTAAGAGACACTTAGAGAGGTATCAATTTGCGCTCCGTAAACAACATGATTGGCGACAGTTCAAAGTATAATTGTTGATTCACTTATGAATTTTTGCCGCATGATGAGAGCGCACTAAATTGCAGTTTAGCAGATATACTGGGTTCTGTCAAGGCACCGGACACATAAATTAAAGACTGATAGACGAAAATATAATATCAATTAACAAACGTAGTAACATGATAGGAAATCAGAATGATTCTGAACTCGCGCACTAATGGCTTGCAGCCAATCCAGACATTGCGCATACTAATCCTCGAGATTTCTCGTTTTATGTCGACACTCGGGAAACTGGGGGAGCCTTCAGTCTACATAGGGATACAACATAACACCCTCAAAAATAGCGAAAACTAGGAACGAGAGCGATCAGTATTTTGGCGTGTTCCGTGGCCCAAAAAAATAAATTTGTAATCGGGCAAAAAGGAGAGAGGGCATGCCGCTTGTTTTTGGGGTCAAAAGCGTTCTTTTCTGATACCAATAGAAATTACAGTGGCTGTGAAAAGGTTCACTTGTATAATGCCACGTGGTGGGAGCATAAGAAGATCTTGACGGAGTACTTAAGAAATAGACCTTGTACAGCAGAAAGCCCACTCGTAATCGTGCTGGAAGAATACATCACATAAGCGAATTGTTCCTGTTGTCCAGTGTGTTGATATAAAGACAGATTGAACTTAGAAGAGACGTCAGACAGTCAGAAAAGATGATGAATGAGAGTACAGCCTAAAATTATGGACAACTTGGTAGGACCAATATTTGTGTATAAGTTGATTTTAACAATAACGAGAAAATTATTGTCATAATGATTCAAGGAGTTGATTATTTGCTAGAAGAAAATTCCACACAAAGATAGCATCGGCGTATTTTGCTAAAACTCAGAACGCAAGCCGCTGTGTGAACTAAACGTCAATAGAACAACAGGTATATCTAAAACACAATTATTAGTGCAAACCCAGGGTTTCTTTGACGTCTAGGAGTATTATGAAAAGAAACTACGCCAATTGAAAAAAACACTCAAACCTTTACGCCTACAAGTACAAGTAACATATATACAAACATAGATCGAAGTAAACACGCAGGGCCGATAAGCAAGAAAATACGCTAAAGCTAAGCTCGCGTTATAAGGATTGATATAACTTTAAGTATTAAGCATACGTACAATTACATTGAGCTGTAGTATTCTTTGACATATATGCGTACATGGCTTATGGCTTCAAACGCGCGCCAACCGGCACAACGGACACGCAACAATGTAAGCAAAAGTATTGGGCAACGTAGAAGCAAAATTACTTTTTCTATTGACTGCCCGCGGTTTGCTACAGATAGTGATCATAAACAACCATTGCAACAAAAAGGAAGAACTACAGAGAAGAAAGAAAATTCAAACACGGAAAATAAGAATCGAAAAGAAAATCCTAATTAACCATGCCTGGGACATATGAAGGCTAACACCATGTCGCTAATCATATCAAAAAAAAAAGCCACAGGGTAACATATTTGCGTTAGAAAGAAGGTTAAAATAGCTGCCTTAAATCGATAATAACTCATATAGCAATCTACACGAATACCTCGTGTACATGTATAGAGATATGTTTAACATGTAACGTAATGAATCCACTGCAAGTGGCCACTGGCCAGTGCATGTGATGGTGGTACTGTGTAGTTTTTGCTTGCGTTAATTGGTTACAAGGTGGTAGCCTCCTCTATTGCAGGCCTGTAGCCTTGCGTAGGTAAATGGATGAGTGCTTACCTATTCTGTCTTGCAAATAGTTGTTGGCTACTACGTACGATGAGAGGCTTCCATTTTTAATCTGAAGACACTTAAACGTACGCGCCATATCGTGGCAACTTTCATAACGATCCCAACAAACATTCCTTTGAGAAGGTTCCTGATACCATATCCCTGTGCATTCCACTGTTTCGGCGTGTATGTGAACACATTTGGACTAACAGGGTTACTAGAATCCCACCACTCCACCACAGAGTCACCACCGTAGACGTTAGATGAGCGCTGTCGCTCCGCGGCACTTGTTCACATTAAAAACATACGCGTCGCACGAACGAATACTACACGCTGCTTGCTACACACTGTACATGCGCCAGCGGGAACACATTTCAGGCTACCGTACGCCTGCGCAGGATTCTTCTACAAGCTACGCCGTGCTTCAACAGTTCTTTTGCCGCCTTATAGTGCCGAGAGCTCAGTTTATTTGTTACGGACATTTACGGTTTTCAGAGCCAAGTGTACTGATTTACTTGTTTATAACAGTGTACATAGATAGCCCTTGAATGTGGTCTGGTAACATAAATAATGGACCTTTCTCTGTTTTTGCAGGAGTTGGTAGTTTCATTTGTAGATGACAGTCACTTTATTCTTGTCAACATTGGAAAGAGCACTGACACGCTACAACAAATGGCAGTGCTTTCTTCCGGCAAGGTAACTTTTGCTTCATACCAATTACAAGCTGCACGTTGCTTTTACATGTTCTGTCATTTGGACACACGTCCGTTTAGGTGCTTCAAAATTATAATCAATAGCAAATATACCATTAGACCCTATTCGATGGTGATGGAATTATTAAAGCCGCACTATGCGCATCTACACGCTAATGTCTCCAGTACTAGACTAGCAAATACTTCGTGTTATGCATAATCACACTACCTTATGACAAAATAAACTCTAGTTCCTCCCATTTCACTGTGCGTTGTCTTATAAAAGGCATTTGAAAATACCTCCAATTTGGTTCAAATTCTCCGATGTTGTTGACACTTTCGCGTTGCCTTGCCAAGCAACCGCACAGCGGTGCTGCGGTACAGCGGTACGGGTGTAGCAAATATAAAAACATGTGACGTCACCCAACCGTTTCTTGGCGAAATGGTTTGGCAAACAATTTAGCGTTGGCGCCAGATTACCAGATTTCGCACCTCTTTCTTGTGGGTTTTAAGCAAACGCGCACTGAAATGGGAGGAAATAGTTTATTTTGCTATAAGGTAGTGTGATTATGCATGACACGAGATATTTGCTAGTCTAGTACTGGAGAAATTAGCGTTTGGATGCGTATAGTGCGGCTTTAACTTGAAATAATGATTGAAAATGAAAAACACCTCATAGATTATAACACTTGAAGTATTGCATTTTGAAACTAATTTATTTACATTATCACCTAATTTTTGATTAATGATAGTAATACACTATCAACTTCTATGACTTTACAGTATATATGTGATATTGCTTTTCACAGAAAAGGAAATTAAAACGGCAAAGAATTGAGGAAAAGAAGTCTCGGGTTAGTAACATAACATTAAATTAGTTTTTGTGCAATTACAAGAAATTAGTATTTAGTTATCAAATGTTTTATTTTGCACCATACATGCTCCGATTTTGTACAACACTGTACAATACATGCAGTTATATCTGTTTACAATAAAACTAGGTACCTCTAATTACAGGCTCACAGGAGTTGGAAGTTTGATACTACAGAAACCGGTGTGGCAGACTCACAGCCGTCAACCAGTGGCACTTCTGCAGAGGTTTGTTTTTTGTGTGAAAATACAACGTATGTCAATTATGTTTCTCTTATGATATTTAAACGGCATTATCAAACCAACTATTCAAACACATGTCATTGAAAAAATCAAATATAGACTAAACATGTTACAAAATTAACACCAGACACATACACTGTTCACTACAGATAACTTACAGTTCCTAATCAATACTGATAAACATCACTTGTCAATTACGGTTAATTCTGTTACATATATATTCTGTAACAAAATAAGTAAATAAAAATTATATTAAAGTTAGTTATTATAATTAAACAATTTCACTTTCAGGAGTATGTCAAAATGTTGCCAAGGTGGCAGCTGGAAAAGTCACTTCTGGCTGTAACGAATCATGACGTCACCAAAATCCAGGAGACTGCGGCAGCGGCAGCGGCAGCGGCAGCAGCAGCAGGAGGAGACCCTGATGGGACGCCACAACCACCAGCATTTTGCCAGTGTGGCAACTGTGTGGACATGCCCACACAGCTGGAACAGCTCTGCTGCAGGAAATCACGTGGGTTATGTGTAACTGTGGTGGCAGAATTTGCCACCATATGCCTGAACAGAGCTGTTTTAGCGGTCGCTCTGTGCTACAGAGAAGACTTGCTCTGTCTACCAGAAGCACGAACCAACGATGCAATGCGCCATGCGGCGTATCGCCAGTTTGTATACTGGAGAATGGGTTCAACCGGTAAGGGACGAGTCGTGATACCATCATGTGTTGTGAATTCCATTCGAAATTCTCATCCATCAGAAAATGATCATTATACCGGATTCCGTGTAGGAGCAGTTTCTACTATTCGGCAACATACTTTCGATTAAGAATATACTTTCAACTAACGTCAACTTGTGTGGCAACAGTAAATGCTAAGGCAGATTCATCAGTGTTACAAGGCATAACGGTATCACCACTTGTCTTCACTTAGCAGTTGAACCCATTCTACACCGACATGCTGCACAGCGATAACAGTTTATGTACGACTTATCGTTATCCTTTTCTAGATTATATACGAACACGATTTTATCTGAGAAAATCAATAATATACAAATGTTAAATTTACGGGTCCTATCTGTCACATGTATAGAGTTGCGTGAAATGGCCATCTTGTCACGTGGTCTCGTTGTAGCGCCGTTTCCTGCAATTGATGTACAGATGTAAATTAGTTATATTCATGTCAAAGTAAATATTGCAGCATATTTATATAAACTGAAAACATTGTTTAGTAGCATATAATCTATTTCTTTTAACGTTTGGAGTATATAATAATTACCATGGAATGTTTGCATTTCCAAATTATTATTTCTCAGGAATGTACCCTTCCCCTTGAGATATATTGTTTGTTTAATGATTTTTCTATAAATGCCCTTTATGATATGTTAAAATCACTTGCATATAATTATATGGGTATTTTTTTAATTAAAAATTTAAGCAAGTTCAACTCAACTTTTCATTGCGTCAGCTAGTGCAATATTTTGTAAATATACATTTTATACTCACTACTATATATTCCAAGCCCAAATATACTACCTAATTAATTAGAAACACAACTTGTGTATAATATGCCTTTACTTGCCATGTTACTCGCTGTCATCAGTAGAGGATTCCTCTGTTTGTGCCATGAAGCCTGGTTCCTTACTATTTACACGTGCAACATAGGACTTGACTTCCGATGCCATGTCTTGCTTTCTTGCTCCATATCGTGTGAACCATGTCTGGAGCAGCTCCTCCTGGCTCGGCTTCGGCGCCGTAGCAATGTTTTTCAGCACACGTGTGGGATCACTCTCCATGAGGCCCGCAGCTTCCTCTAGTCTTCCACCTTCTGCGGCGTGTTCTTCACGTTTCCGCAGTACCATTTTCTGCAGTAATGGTATGTAGCTGAAGTGGTTCTTCACTTTGACGGGTCGCAGTCTCCACTGTTTTGTCGCTTTTGACCATTGAGTGTGAAAGCTGCAAAAAGCATTTGTAAATAAAAAATCGTAAGCAATACATGTATGTAAAGCTGATAATTTCACAAGTCATTTATACTTTTTGCATTTTAAACATGTTGTTAATGAGATGAATGTTCAATGTTAATGCAGGTTATACAGTTACACTATATTTGATTACATCTGTAAAACTGAAATCAATGATCTTACCAAATGTATATATGTATGAATATTCGTGATTTCATTCAAGACTAGCAAAATATAAAGCATAGAAGTTGTTGAAAGTAAAAACAATGTTTGCTGTTACTCACTGAGTTGTTAGTAATGTATCCATATGAAAACTTGCATCAACTTCCCTGACTCGTCTCGAGCGTACTCTCTGTCATGATGAGCATTGTGGTCGATGGCTGCTATCCTGACACAGAGGTCGTGACCTAGGTAGCTGCAAGATAGTGTATAACAGCAAGTTGTTAAAATGAAGGGGCATATGATTTTCAAAATTTTTTGTTTACATTAGCGAGAAAATTGTGCAGTTCAGTATTGCTGCCGAATATCATTGCAATCATTGTAACTTAGGTCGTAATTTAGTTAATACCTGAAGCCATATCTTTCCGAAGCATAGGCTATTACCAAGCTGTGGAAATTTTCCAAGTCTTCAGTTGTTCTGAACAAAGAAAGTGTAGCGTTATATTATATGGTTACCGACAAAAATATGCAGCGGCACGCTCCCCCTACTGGCAATTTAATACAAAACAGGAAATTACATATGGGAATTCGTCTAACGGGCGCGACGCGCTTATTAGCGGGCAGGATCAACACCTCTCAGGCGACGCTTCTCTGGTATCCGGTCTCTCATCTGAGTGCGAGTGTGGGTGAGGTGTCGCTTCCCGCTACTTCTACACACAGATCTACTTGAATATGTATGGACCCCCTTACTACTTAATCATTTTGATCACTTCTTTACTCATACGCAGGCTGTAAGATGCTGGCTGTGGTATTTACTTTGCAAATATAAACTGGTCGCAAATTTTACTATTACACGCCTGCCATATAAATATTTGGAATATTTAGTGATAATTATAGTAAAGTTAATTACTGTCAATTACTAATTTTTACCTGTCCTGCCTAAGTATTTATTTCGTCCACAGACGGCTGTGCCCGGGACGCGAAATTTTTTCCCCCACGAGAGCTCCGGACCCACTATAGATAGTGTTTTGTAATATATGGTTCGTATATATATGGTTGGGTTCAGTGGCGCGTGCGTTCCTTTGTGTGCACGTACACGTGCGTGTGTGCGCCGCGTGTGCAGGTACACGTTTGTGCGTGCGTGCGCTGCGTGCGTGTGTGCGTGTGCAGGTACACGTGTGTGCATGTGTGCGTGTGTGTGCGGTACACGTGCGTGCGTGCATGTGCACGTAGACGTGCATGCGTGCGTGCGTGCTGTGGCACGTACACGAGCGTGTGCATGAGTGTGTGTGCACGCACACGTGCGTGCGTGCGTGTGTACGTGCGTGTGTACGTCACGTGCGTGCGTGCGTGCGTGCGTGCCGTGCGTGCGTGCCGTGCGTGTGCTTGTATCGAACAATATCACATCGAAACATCATCTGCTTGCTGCCAACCCGTTAAACTCCGCATGTGCGCATATGACGTCAATGTTTATAAACATGAAACATCGCTGCTCCGTCAATACACGCGAAACGCAAGAGAAATACAACGATGGCGAAATATACAGCTGTGTACACACACGCAGCTAGGGTCTGCATAGCTCCCAATCCAATTGGTTGTATACAATCTCGTATCTCAAACTCCTGTTTATGGTGCATTGTGACCTAACCTATAAAACCAAAAAAAATATTTGTTTGTTATTAAATTGTTGTAAATTAAATCATGTAAATATGGATAAACATAGAAAAATACAGAAGAACAGAAAAATAATGAAAGAACGGATGGATTCGATCCAACGACATTTCAGTCGTGTCGTCTCTGGAGGCGACACGCTCAACCCACACTCCCACTCAGATGAGAGACCGGATACCAGAGAAGCGTCGCCTGAGAGGTGTTTGATCCTGCCCCGCTAATAAGCGCGTCGCCGCCCGTTAGACGAATTCCCATATGTAATTTCCTGTTTTGTATTAAATTGCCAGTAGGGGGACGTGCCGCTGCATATTTTTGCGCGGTAACCATATAATATAACGCTACACTTTTTGTTAGTAACAACTGAAGACTTGGAAAATTTCCACAGCTTGTAATAGCCTATGCTTCGAAATGATATGGCTTCAGGTATGACTAAATTACGACCTAAGTTACAATGATTTGCAATGATATTCGGCAGCAATACTGAACTGCACAATTTCTCGCTAATGTAAACAAAAATTTTTGAATCATATGCCCTTCATTTAACACTTGCTGTTATATCACTATTCTGCAGCTACCTAGGTGACGACCTCCGTGTCAGGATAGCAGCCATCGGCCACAATGCTCATCATGACAGAGTACGCTCGAGACGAGTCAGGGAAGTTGATGCAAGTTTTGCATATGGATACATTACTAACAACTCAGTGAGTAACAGCAAACATTGTTTTACTTTCAACAACTTCTATGCTTTATATTTTGCTAGTCTTGAATGAAATCACGGAATATTCATACATATATACATTTGGTAAGATCATTGATTTCAGTTTTACAGATGTAATCAAATATAGTGTAACTGTATACCCTGCATTAACATGACATTCATCTCATTAACAACATGTTTAAAATGCAAAAAGTATAAATGACTTGTGAAATTATCAGCTTTACATACATTTTTATTTACAAATGCTTTTTGCAGCTTTCACACTCAATGGTCGAAAGCGACAAAAACAGTGGAGACTGCGACCCGTCAAAGTGAAGAACCACTTCAGCTACATACCATTACTGCAGAAAATGGTACTGGCGGAACGTGAAGAACACGCCGCAGAAGTGGAAGACTAGAGAAGCTGCGGGCCTCATGGAGAGTGATCCCACACCGTGTGCTGAAAACAATTGCTACGGCGCCGAAGCCGAGCCAGGAGGAGCTGCTCCAGACATGGTTCCCACGATATGGAGCAAGAAGAGCAAGACATGGCATCGGAAGTCATAGTCCTTGTTTTGTTGCGTGTTTTGTTATTTACATGTTGCACGTGTAAATAGTAAGGAACCAGGCTTCATGGCACAAACAGAGGAATCCTCTACTGATGACAGCGAGTAACATGGCAAGTAAAGGCATATTATACACAAGTTGTTTCTAATTAATTAGGTAGTATATTTGGGCTTGGAATATATAGTAGTGAGTATAAAAATGTATATTTACAAATTGCACTAGCTAACGCAATGAAAAGTTGAGTTGAACTTGCTTAAATTTTTAATTAAAAAAATACCCATATAATTATATGCAAGTGATTTAACATATCATAAAGGGCATTTATAGAAAAATCATTAAACAAACAATATATCTCAAGGGAAGGGTACATTCCTGAGAAATAATAATTTGGAAATGCAAACATTCCGTGGTAATTATTATATACTCGCAAACGTTAAAAGAAATAGATTATATGCTACTAAACAATGTTTTCAGTTTATATAAATACTGCGCAATATTTACTTTGACATGAATATAACTAATTTACATCTGTACATCAATTGCAGGAAACGGCGCTACATTAACGAGACCACGTGACAAGATGGCCATTTCACGCAACTCTATACATGTGACAGATAGGACCCGTAAATTTAACATTTGTATATTATAGATTTTCTCAGATAAAATCGTGTCGTATAATCTAGAAAAGGATAACGATAAGTCGTACATAAACTGTTATCGCTGGCAGCATGTCGGTGTAGAATGGTTCAACTGCTAAGTGAGACAAGTGGTGATAACCGTTATGCCTTGTAACACTGATGATCTGCCTTAGCATTTACTGTGCACACAAGTTGACGTTATTTGAAAGTATATTCTTAATCGAAAGTATGTGGCCGAATAGTAGAAACTGCCTCCTACACGGAATCCGGTTAATGATCATTTTCTGATGATGAGAATTTCGAATGGAATTCAGCACACATGATGGTAATCACGACTCGTCGCCTTACGCGTTGAACCCATTCTCCAGTATCAAACTGGCGATACGCCGCATGCGGCATGCATCGTTGGTTCGTGCTTCTGGTAGACAGAGCAAGTCTTCTCTGTAGCAGCGAGCGACCGCTAAAACGCTCTGTTCAGGCATATGGGGCAAATTCTGCCACCACAGTTCAACATAACCACGTGATTTCCTGCAGGCAGAGCTGTTCCAGCTGTGTGGGGCATGTCCACACAGTTGCCACACTGGCAAATGCGGTGGTTGTGGCGTCCCATCAGGGTCTCCTCCTGCTGCTGCTGCCGCTGCCGCTGCAGCTGCCGGCAGTCTCCTGGATTTTGTGACGTCATGATTCGTTACAGGCCAGAAGTGACTTTTCCAGCTGCCACCTTGGCAACATTTTGACATACTCCTGAAAGTGAAATTGTTTAATTATAAAACTAACTTTAATATAATTTTTATTTACTTATTTTGTTAGCAGAATATATATGTAACCAGAATTAACCGGAATTGACAAGTGATGTTTATCAGTATTGATTAGGAACTGTAAGTTATCTGTAGTGACAGTGTATGTGTCCGTGTTAATTTTGTAACATGTTAGTCTATATTTGATTTTTTCAATGTGTTTGAATAGTTGTTTGATAATCCGTTTAAATATCATAAAGAAACATAATTGACATACGTTGTATTTTCACACAAAAAAACAAACCTCTGCAGAAGATGCCACTGGTTGAGGCTGTGAGTCTCAACACCGTTTTCTGTAGTACTCAAACTTCCAACTCCTGTGAGCCTGTAATTAGAGGTACCTAGTTTTATTGTAAACCAGATATAACTGCATGTATTGTACAGTTGTTGTAAAAAATCGGAGCATGTATGGTGCAAAATAAAACATTTGATAACTAAATACTAATTTCTGTAATTGCACAAAAATTAATTAATGTTATGTTTACTAACACCGAGACTTCTTTCCTCATTCTTTGCCGTTTTAATTTCCTTTTCTGTGAAAAGCAAATATCACATATATACTGTAAAGTCATAGAAGTTGATAGTGTATTACTATCATTAATCAAAAATTAGTGATAATGGTAAATAAAATTAGTTTCAAAATGCAATACTTCAAGTGTTATATCTATGAGGTTTTTTCATTTCAATCATTATTTCAAGTTAAAGCCGCACTATACGCATCCAAACGCTAATTTCTCCAGTACTAGACTAGCAAATATCTCGTGTCATGCATAATCACACTACTTATAGGCAAAATAAACTATTTCCTCCATTTCAGTGCGCGTTTGCTTAAAACCACAAGAAAGAGGTGGCGAAATCTGGTAATCTGGCGGACCAACGCTAAATTGTTTGCCAACATTTCGCCAAGAACGGTTGGGTGACGTCACATGTTTTTATATTTGCTACACCCGTACCGCTGTACCGCAGCACCGCTGGCGGTTGCTTGGCAAGGCAACGCGAAAGTGTCAACAACATCGGAGATATTTGAACGGCAAATTGGAAGGTATTTCAAATGCCTTTTATAAGACAACGCACAGTGAAATGGGAGAACTATGAGTTATTTTGTCATAAGGTAGTGTGATTATGCATAAC